CTCCATTTGAGGCTTAAAGCCACCACCAGTGGAAAGTTGTAAATGGCTGCGAACCTACCAGCAGAGTCAATACTATTCACTGTGATCATTTTGTTGGTTGGTTTTCCAGAAGTAAATTGACAGCCTGGCACAGCATCCTACAGGCTCACGCCAGACTAGAAACTAGCATCGTGCTGGTCTGTGTGTATGGATAAAGACAAAGTAGTGGTGAGGGTAAGTGAGGTGAGTGCTGAAGGGTGGGTACGCCGTAGGGAAGTAGTCTTTGAAACAAAGTATAATGTTACAGAAGTTCAAACTGACTCATCTCTGACTTGCCGTTGAGAAGGGTAAGGTAGCATATTAGCATCAGAATTATAGATGATCGGATAAAGAAGTAAGTTTGAAATGCAGTCTGGTTCTGAAGTAGGAATAGGAGGTTAAGCAAGTAGGCTTCGTTGCTGTGCCGAAGTGCAGAAATTGTGCAAAAGGAAGAGCTCTGTTGTCAGAGGCAGAAACTCCGACTTCGTTGCTGGCCTTGTGCTTGTTACATGACTTTGGGCAAGTTATCCACTGACCTGTCTGACCCGCCTGTCCCCGCCTGTCCCGTGGGGGTCACACCCACTTCACAGGGCCCAGGGGCAGCTGGTCTGAGAGAGCGGGAGGGGCCTGCATGAGGCATCTCGGGTTCCCTGCGAACACCTTCCCGTACTTCCCAGCACCGCACCCTGTTCACCAAAAAATATTAACAAAAGCACGAAACGTATAGGAGAAATTACTTCAGCTGTCCAACTCACGAAGCTCCTGTGCGTTTTACAAATTGCACTTTCTTTTTAGGAAGGCATAAAGCAGTGTGCTGTAACATTTGTGTCGAGGTTAGTTAAGAAGCAGGTGAGCCGCGATGGAATTGTGACCTGCACGTTGAGGGCATGACAGCGGTTTCCTCCTTCGGGAGAGGGATGCGCGCTGAACAGCCAGCGGAGGGAATGGTGGCTACGTTAGGCTTATTCTCTTAGACCTTTCCAGGATCCAGTTTGACATAAGGACTGAACATTTTGCTTTCTTCTGTATTTCATTGGTGTTCTGAATTTTCCATGTTGATTTAGTTTTTTTGCTTAAAACCTCAAGGATGCTGTCAGAAAGCCTTTGGCTGGCGGAAATGAAGTCACAGTCAATTCTGAACGCTATGCCAATGAGACGGGACACTAATGACTGTAGACAGAGCTAGCAGGAGACTGAATTCAGGTACTCCTGTTAACTCCTGAAAATAAACGATGTGTTTGGTGCTTTTCTAACCCAGAAACAGCTCTCTGAGGTGTTCCCGCTGTGCAATGAGTGATCCATTAAAATGCTTGCCCAAGTGAAAAAAATGTAAAGATGCTGTGAAAAAACACTGCCCTGTGCTTCGTGAAGTGGTTCTCAGTCCAGCCTGGAAAGATGAGATTCATGGGTGAACAACTTAGTCACTTAAATTAATGCCCCAAAAAACACCAGCCAGCTTCTTGTGTGGACCCTGTGAAAACTTTACCAACACCTATTTGAATTCCCGATAATGACAGCACCTCAGTGACCATCACGTTAACGTTTCCTGGAGACCGAAATTCTCTGCCAGATTATGTGTGAAAGGAACACAGAGCTACAGATGCCACGTAGCCGTGAGCGGGGTTCTCAGGTGTTGTCTGGAAACACATGCTGTGCCCGGAAGGCCAGAGCTTTTCATGTTAACCTGCTTGCTTTTCTGGGAAGGCTGGAGCTGTCGCTTATCCCAGAAGAATAGTCATTATGAATAAAGTCAGGCTGTTGCTTCTCACCTGCACGTGTTCAGAAATGGTAGCCAGTGACGTCGGGTTCACCGTAGGCTTCCCGCGGTAGGGTGCAGCACCGCCCAGAGGAAGAATGATGGAAGCTTGACGTGGGTTTACCGGGGGCGCCCTGCCTTGCAGAGAAAACATGATTTGCAGTCTTTTCACCTGCAGGGATCCCTGTGTTGCTACGAGGGGGGACGTTTGTAAGTGACTATGCCGACCAGCTAGTGCAGTTCCGCTGTCTTCACAAGGCTCTGATCAGGCTTCGGATGGACTAGACGGCGCCCCTGCCCTCCTGCCCCCGCCCTCCCGCTGCCCTGCCCCAGCACCTTCTCTCGCCTGAACTGTTGCCGTGGCTGCTAACCACTCTCCCAGCTCCCACTCATTCCCAAACCAGAGTGGTCTCCTACAAGCATCTAGAAGACCTTCTCATTCCTCCCCTTAGAGTGCTCCATTGCATTTAAAATAAAACCTAGCTCCATACATTGGCTTATCGACAAGACCCACAGCATCTGACCACCTCTCACATCTCCTGCTTCATCAGGGACCATTCTCTTCTGCACCTCCTGGGGCTACCTCCATCTTCCTCCCTCTTCTTTTCCTTCCTTGCCCACACCAAGCTCGTTTCGTCCTTAGGGCCTGGGCACTGGTCTTCCTGGAAGGCATATCCCAGCCTCTGTCTTCACGTGTATGGCAGATTCTTCTCCATTTTGGAATGTCCCCTCTGTGGAGGAGCCCTCCCTAACCATCCCATGTCGGCAGCCACCCAACTATATTAAATTGGGTTATCTAATAACCTCTCTCTCTGGCTGACATCTTTCATTTCTTTTTCTCCTTCAACTAGAAGGTTGCCTCCACTAGAGCAGAGCCCCATTCGTTTTGATCTGACGTGTCCGCAGGAGCAGCTATTCAGCAAACATCTGTTGAAGGAATGTATTAATGAAAGAAGAAATGATGTAGCCGGTGTTTCTAACCTTAACCGATACATTTCCAACCAAAAACAAAGAGACCTGGTTAGTGTCTGTGGCTGTGTCATGGCTGAAAATGCACTTGGCTTTGAAATTTCCAAACAGACTCTTGGGCCTTCAGGGCCCGCTGCCCCCGTGTCTGGAGTTCAGGAATCCGAGTCTGGGAACTTGCTTACTGTTAACAGAGTGGCCATGATGCAGACGCACTGGAGAAGGACTTGAGTTGGCTCTCCTGCCGTCTCCCTGTAGACTTAACTTGCAGGTTTTGTCCCCTCAGGAACTCTGCTCTCCTGCTCTGTTGAAGTCCTTCACTAACACAGGTCCCCCTTCCTCTAGATGGGGACCCAGCTGCTTCCTTCGTTCTATTGAAATGTGTTTAGGGTGCTTATGGAAACCATCAACTATTCTGGTATTTCAAAGGCATATTGGTATCGTATACCCTGGTGTTTGGCATCAGTTGGATTTGGAAAGATGGATACCTGCTGATAAGGTGGATACTTACATAACCGCCTTTTCTATTTTCGAACTTGTGTTTATTAATTTTTCTGTTCACACATAGACCTAAACACTTTTGAACTTGAAAAAGCAAAGTTGAAAGCTTACTGGGAAAAAAAATTAGGTTTTTCAAATGTATTAAGTAAAGTAAGAGTGTTTCCTTCAGCTTTTTCAGATGACCCGGGTAAAGTATGCCTTCGATGAATTAAATAAAACTGTAATGGACTCATAGTTCATGAAGCCTCCGGCCGACTGCGGTGGTGGGGAGGCTGCCTTTCTCGACGGGGGGCTAGTGGTCGCCGCGCCCCGGAGCTGGACGCTCTTGCTCTGGTCTGTAAGATCAGGGGTGTCCTGACTTATCTCAGAGGACAACATTTCCTTAGGTTGCACGCAGTGAATATAGCAGTGTCTCTGGTTCTCAGCATCCTAGAATTTCAGGTTCTTAGAACAGACAGGAAAGCCAAATTCTGTTGAGGTCACAGAGCCGGAGGCAGAGTTGAGGCTGATTCGTGCCCTCCTGCCCCACCCTGTGCTTCTCTCCTGGACTTTCATTCATCCCCAACTTCCCTTTCGTCTTCCTGAAGCAGCCTGTGATTTTTAATTGCAAGTAAGCTTAAAACTAGCCATTAACTTGGGGCTGAAGGTTAGTGATTATTTTTCTATCACCCAAGATTATTTCCCATGGAAGAGTTTATTCATGGAGGAATGGTTGGGTTCTGGGGTTTGGAGGGACAGAGCAAGGACCCCCGTGTATACGGAGGAAGGGTAAAGGGAAGGAGAGAGTGTCTGCTTCCATTATTAGATCATCCTTCCCAGAGATTAAGGTAGATCTTCAGCAAATCCGTTTCTCTGACATTAAACTTATCTAAGTTAGGTAATTACTATGCCGGTAATGTTATTTCACGGTCATCTGTGGCAAAAATCTAGTAGGAATAAAACCTGTGATCATTCCAAATCAACTGTGACTTCTAGTTCAGTGTTCATTTTGAGCCGCCCACGGGCAGCCGCCTTTGTGGCGAATTGGACGAGTCTGGTGTGTGCGGTGGGACGGGCTTTGATGGGTAGCTTTGCTGCGTCGTTCGCGCGCTGCTTCGCGTCAGCCTTCCGCGTGGAGCATCCCGCCTCCCTGCCCTGGAGGAGGTAACTGCACCCACTGATGGGGCCTTCCCTCTTTCTGCTTGCAGAACAATCGACCATGACGACCGAATCGGGATCAGACTCAGAATCCAAGCCGGAGCAGGAGGCCGAGCCCCAGCAGGCGGCGG